GGCTGCTTGGGGCGGCCAAAACCCTGGAGCCGGCCCTGAAGCCCAGAATGGCAGCTTCACATGGAGAGAGGGAGGGGAAACAACAGAAATAACAACAAGGCCAAAGCACCAGCCAAAGTATCAATATAAATACAAATTTATTCTCTTTCCAGAGCAGAAATGGAGAGAAGCCAGTGAGGACAGCACCACAGCAAACAGTACCCAGAGTTAGCTTCCCAGCTTTAACAGATATCCTGAACTCACTTATGCACAATACAATCTTTGCTTATAAAGAAAATGTCCTAGAGGTTCGGTCGGTTGGCCTGGGCTGTATCTTTACTTACAGCACAGAGCTAGCTCAGGGAGAGATCTCAGATTCTCTACAGATGCCCTTTCCAAAGCAAAAGAGGGCGAAGCAATCAGGTCTGATCCTCAAAGGTATTTAGGCACCTAACTCATGGGAATTAAGTGCCCAAATACCTTGGAGGATCTAGGCCTCAGTGATTAAGGGAAGGAGCTCAGAGGAGGTACAAGAGAAAATGGAGGCCTGCCATTTTATAGCTAAAAACCCCACTAATTACATTAGTGGATCAGGTGGTTTTAATCAGGGCCTAGATTAGCACTCATAGCAAAGAGAACTCTGGAGTACCGCAGAGCCGTTGTGAGATGGGGAGCCAAGCACAGACGGGGGAAGAGGGAGAATGCTGTAGATAGGTCTGAGACTGGGGAATGCCCAGGAACACTTGTATTCAACGAGGGCAGAGCACAGGGGACTGCAAGGAGCACCAGGGGTTGAGGGTCTAGTAAAGCAGTGGGACACTTCAGCTGCAGGGGGTCCCACTCTCTGGGCTTATTGCACTGTCAATAACGATCAATCATTTCGTGTTCCGATGGAACACTAAGACACTAACCCTGGCGCTCAGATTGGTAGTGCCTTGGGGGTGTTTCCACCATCCTCTGTAGCATGAGGGCATGGGTCACTTGCCAGGATTATCTAGGGGTCTTGTTTAATCATTTCCCGGACACTGCAGGGGCCTCGGGCACTGGTGCACCTCAGTCCCTCTGTTCTCTGCCTGTGGCATGTCATAATCTAGTGTCCTGTGGGCTGTGATACTTGGCCTAATTCTGGTTGTTGGGTTTGGTGTGCGTGGTCTAGGGTGTTGGTGGCTTGCGATAAACAGGAGGTCAGACTAGTGGTGGTCCCTTCTGGCCTTAAGCTCTGTGACTCGGTCACTGATCATGCCGGCCACCACTCTCAACTAGTTGGGGAGACGAGCGGGCCGTGGCCTCTGCACCCCAGAAGGGAGATTTCATGCAGGGAAAAGCAATGACTCCTGAACATGCTTTTAGAGGTGCCTTTGCCCTAATCTTGCCTTTCTCTCTCATTCTTAGCTACTTCCCAGTCTCGGCCTTCCACGGGCAAAACCATATCCCTGCTAGCCCTTCTCCAGTTTGCTAGCAGAGGGAGCCATCTCCTGCCCCATCCCACAGCTGATAATGGGTGGCTCCAATCATCACTACAGCAGCACCCTCGGCCTAGGTATCCATGTGGCAGGCAGCCAAGGAAGCCACAGGCCCTTCCCGGCTCTCCTAGCACTAGGGCTAAGTGGTTTGTGCCTGTGCTGCATGGTGGTAAAGCAGATGAGGTGAACAACACCTGTCTGCACTTGCTCCTCTCCCTTAGGGCCTGACTAGGCTGGAGAGGGTGCAATTGAGGTTTCCTCTCCTTTTCTCCTGGCGTCTGCCTAGAGGGAAATGTGCAACAGTTTGATCCGGATGAATCTGAGGCTGCTCCTTCCTGATGGACTGGAGCCAGGGGGGACCAGCATGGAGCCGGACGTGGGTTGGGGAGATTCCCAATGGGGGGCAAAGCCAGCAGCAATTCCTCTGGGGAGCAACAACTGCAGAGGGTGCTCTCACTTGTCAGGGTCTGTGTCTCAGGCAGTCCCATCTGTGAGAGTTCTCCCCAGCTTCCGGCAGCATCACCCAGCCTGAGCTTTCTGCACCGGTCCCAAACACAGAA